CACAATAAAATTGAATAGTTTTTTTGCGATTTTCTGATATTTCGTAAACAAGAATTAAATTAGTATCAAATTACATAAAACCGCTCCTTTCTTTCTGAAGACAAAAAGTATATTGTTTTAAAATTAAAAGTATACTATCAATTAGATATACTAATTATGATAAAGTATAATACTTTTAAACCACTAGACGGAGATTCAGCTTTCTGTCTCCAGTATTTAGATTCCAAATGAATGTACTAATTTCTATACGATTTTATTAGTTTTTAACAGATAAAAACCTGGATTTTAGTTTTTAATTAATGCCACTTGCTTAATTAGAGGCATGACAGAGCTTCTGTACATTCTAAAGTGTTTCGGCCTACAGGAAACATTGTCTAATTAGCTAAGACACTTTAGTGGGACACTAATACACTTCGGTATGGAGGCACTTCTAAATTTCAACATACTAACCGTGCCGATAACATTTGTAAACGACTACTCGAAATTTCACTAGTAAATTCGTGTTTTGTGCAGAGTTTTAAGCACCTTATTGTATGTATGTCACTAGTAGATATCTAAAATCATTTTTTTCTATACTTAGCACATTTTGTAACCAATTTTGGCATGTTTTAAATGAACAAATAGGCCATAGAAATGTTCTTGTAATATAATAAATACTAATAATTGTGAAAGTGTGTTTGTTCGTTTGTTATCTGTTAGCGTAACGACTGAAACAATGGCCATAAAATTTAGTATACATGTACTAGTTAATTTTAAGCTTTCGCGTTGTTGACAAACATTTTAAATAAATACACTATCGGGACTTAATGCGATGAAGGTATATATATCTATATACATACCAGAACAGCCCGCGCAGTCTCTTCGAAGAGAATTCTAATATCTTCGAAAATGCGGGCTGCCATACGAAAATGCCACTAATTTCAGTTCTGTCATGACCACGACGTGGTGCAATCCACGTCGTAACATTGGCAATAAAAATCAGGTATGTATTTAGGTACTATTCACCTGTAATTTTTCATCGCATTAAGTCCCGACAGTATATTTAAAATATACATATACTATTTGGCATATAATCAAAATACCGGCGACGTGAATGAATTTGCGGGTAAAAGCTAGTTAATTATATATTAATGCATATTTCTGTTTGTCCATTTCATTAGAACAGTGACAGTCCATTTGGAAAACTCAGTTGACTCAAACCAAAAAGTTTAAAATAAAATCTCAAATTGAACCTGTCAACTTTTAGAAGTACATTAAAAAATAGACAAATAATAGTATGAGTACGATTTAAATCGTATATCTGTCAACCCTGCTAGCAAGACAGCGACAAAATCACGTTGCATAACAATGTAGCCCAAGCTTACAGGGCACTATCACCTGATAAAATACGTCAGAGACCGTCTATAATGAAAGCATAACTTGAAAAAAAAAAAGATTTGAGAACATTTTATTTCTGAAGACGGCTGAAAAAAAACATTGCTAAAACAGTTTACAATTTACGCCAAGTATAGAAAAACTATAACATACACGACCAAATACAAAAGTTGCATTAATCACTACAAATTCCCAATTGTTTTTTCCTATTTTCAATGTGCTGTATTTGATCCTAATTTATCCTAATGATGTATAGACAGATAGTCTATTTAATGAAGAAAGAACAATGGCCTATAACATATGAAATGCAATTCCAAATAAATCTGCAATTCACGTCGAGTCTACGAAGATATTAATAACCGATTAACTTTTTTTTACACGTATATTTATACGTGTAAAAAAAAAGTTACGTATATTATCTTCCAATTTTTCAAGTAAAAAACGTGTTTGATGAACTTTATGGTTTATATCTCTATGGTACAAATAAGTAGCGATTCGTAATATTATCAGTCCCTGTACTTCAAGTAAAAATCTCATTACGCGATTTAGAGATGTACAACTGATTAAGATTTCGACTGAAAAAAACAGCAGATTCAACATCATTTTCAAGATAACTGGAATCCAATGTTAGCATATTTTATGATGAACTTTCGTATTCTATCGCTTGTTCGGCAGCCACTGACGTTCCTTTAGTATCCAAGTATATAATAACAATGATTCGACTTACAACTGAAAGAACCGAAAAAATTTCATTCATTTTTTAACTGGAATCTTAAATAAATCTCTTGCGAGGACATTAAGTTTATGGTTTATATCTCTATGGTAGAACAATTTACGATTTAAAAAGATTAAGTCATGACAAAGCCGCGATAGGTATTTGAATTAGATACCTATTTCATTTAATAATTTATCAACTTGCTTGATCATTCATGAAGTAATAGTTATTGTCTTTGTTGAATTACGTTTCTATCTTCAAGGTTATAAAATTTCCATTATACATATGTATAGACATAGTTTGCATTTTCTCTTTTCTTTTTTGTTCTATATCAATTTTGATAGTCTAGGAGACTATCAAAAATGACTGATTAAAATTCATATTCAAGATTCAATAGAACTGTGAATTCTTATTTATAGTAAGTTTTAAACTAATTATTTATATTCATACTATTTGGTAGTTATATTGTGACTAATTTGCCTAATTCAAATTATGAAACAAATTATATTAAAATGTTTATACATGGGGTAATGAAAATAACAAGCCGAAATCTATCGAAAGCATAAATATATAGTTAATTTTAACAATCGCGTTGTTTACACATACGAGTATATTCACAACCGGGACTTAACTATATACCGAATTTTTAGTACATGTCTTACATGGGTTGACTCCGTGGTCACGTTAGGACTGAAGTGAACGGCGTCTTCTGGGGGGCCGTGCAGTTTCTTCGGCCACCTTCATGTTATCACTATTATTGTCTATATCCACTCTACACACCGTACTCCCATAGGTTATAAAACTCAAGTATGTAGCTGTTATTTATCTATAATCGCGTCGCGTTGTCCCGATTGTAAATTTAAAATATATACACATAACTGAACAACTTCTATCCAAGAAGCAAAATAGAACATAAAAATGAGTATTACTAAAACTGGATTTTGTATACTGTACACCCTTTCGATTACAGAGCAAAATACGTCTTACTACATCTCACTAATGAAACTGCACGTCTTTCGCAAAAAAAATAGGGGCCCATTTTGAATCTCCCGCATGACAGAGGATGTATAATTGTGAAGTCAGATTAGAAAGAAGGCTTAGAAATTTTTGTACTTTTTCTACCATAATTTTTTTTTGGAACAATGTTCAGTTTCATGGATAACACAAAAGATGAGGTGATGTAAATTTCACCTGTACGTATCAGCTTGTATTTCTCACACGTACGACAATTTTTTGTGACAAACCTGAGAATTTAAGTGGCCGACATTCATGTGTTACTCATTTTGTCTCTTAAATAAAGTAAATAATTTGCAAAAGAAACAGTTTCACAGACAAAATGGAGCTGATCTTATTTTGAAATAAGCATAATGCATAGTTTAAATCGATCTCATGTTACTGAAATAATTAACAATCATTGCCAAATAAAGAAATTAATTGAATCATATGATTTAACAATATTACATACGAATCAATAGAAAACAGATCATGAAAATAAAATCATTTGTATTAATCAATCTGTTAAATTGTTTCATACAATCACCAACACAAGAAACTGTACTACAATAGCATTATTGTATTTATCATAAGGATACTTCATTACAACTAACACATTGCTTCACAGACTTTTCATTGCATCAGTTCAATTAATTTCCAATAAAAATGTTCATGTTCACATTCCATTGTGACATGCAACAATATTATACATAGTTAACAAAAAGACCTACCAAATCTTAACGTATTCGATTCTTAATTTATTGCAAATGTACGGTTCGTAATTATAGCGTATTTTACCAATATCTTTAATTAATAAGGTAGACAGACAAATGCAAGTGAGATTCTATAACATGTCGATGATCAACATTTTGACATTTAGTAACTCCTTTCACATTAATCACAAAATATTTTTGGTATAAAAACTTACACCCATAACTACTTTTCATACTCTTCATTACCTGGTCCTTCGAGCCGGATTCGTCTTTGGCCTGACAACTATAGAGATAGAGCAGATTGCGGCGCCAGCGCAAGTTTCGGGCGCTAGGTGGCGTGTGTGGGCGATGCGACAGACGCGAGATGCGGCGAGGCTCGAGTTGCGTTGTGACGCCGTAGTAGTTCAGTCACTGTTATAGCCACTTGAACGGTCCCTTTGCCTTCTAGAACATCCGCTGCACAGCACATTAGCTTCTGTGAAATAACATACATTTTTTTTTATAAATAATACATTAGGCATGTTTAAAATTATGAAATTCTTTTATATTACTGAGGTAGCAAACAAGTTTATGGCCCACTTGATGGTAAGTTGTTACCGTAGCCTATGAACGCCTGCAATACCGGGGGTATTATATGTGCATTGCCGACACTAAAGACATTTCTTTATCCCTCTTTTGAAGAATCCCATGCTGTAATCTCTTGGAAAAACCTCTACACGGAGCTCATTTAATGACCTGAGCGTGGCAATAAAATCTTAGCATGTATAGCTTTTTATCAAAATAATAGTACATAAAATAGTTATACATGTAATTACATAGAGGTTATTATTTTCTGTGAGTTTTATTTATTGACATATGATCAATTTCGAGAAACCTATCAGAACAAGACTACTAAATATGCCAAGACAATTATTTTTCAGCTGTCGTAATACTGAGATGAGATATGAGCGAACAGTTATAAATGTATTCCTATTTCCATAGACAGTGGTTACTACATTCTTTTACTAATTTGCTAGTCTCAATAGCATCAAAATTTTGAAGTAACTCGTATACGTACATAGAGCATGCATAGTTCTTATACCAAATGAAAAAATATGGCTAATAACAAGTTGTATTAAAATCCGCTTGTCTATAGTTATAAACAGCATCATCAAGCATCATAGATTATTTTCAATTTTGATTACAGCCGAAATAATACACAATAATGCCAATAATACATTTATTTTTAGTACAGAAAACATTGTAAGTACATACAAAAAAGTATATTTTGAATTCTAGATATTGTGGTCGATTTTAAAGCGCCATTCTTTATGCCTATGCAGAACGATATTTTAAATCCAATTTAATATTATAGTAAAATTATTGTAAGAATCAGCATTGACTAAAATTACAATAAATTTCAATTGAAACATTAAATTTAGAACATGGTGGTGCATAATATAGTTTAAATTTTAGAGACTGGTGCAGGAAATGGCAATGCAGAATCAACCACATTACATCTAGAAAAATATAAAAAGTAGATACAATCATAAATATTTTCACTGTGAAGTTTAAGAGAAAATACTTAAATCCATATATATAAGAAAAAATAATACTGTCACAAAATTAAAGTACTTATTTAAAAAAAAGTCGCAAACTTTAATTCTATTTTAAGATATTGCTGGCTGGATTTAATATTTTAAAATAATTTACAAAAAAAAATAGTAATAAGAATTATGTTGGTATTAGGTATGTTGCAAAGAATATGAATAACAAATCATTGCGTATGCGGTAGACACATGACAATAAATTTAAAAATCTTTGTAAATTATCGCCATACGCTGATGGTACAGAGATTTATTTTTTAATACGTTCGAATACTTTAAACACAGTCATAGATTAAAAAAAAAATCTTAGGAGTTAAGTATTTACATTTTAAGAATGAAATTGGGCCAATAACAAAATAAAAATATATATAAACCAGCCTTGATAAACTACATAAATTAATACAATAAGGACCAAGCCAAAACACCTTAAGTCAATAAATATATGTTATATACGCTATAAATTATATATTAATCTATATTACTTACTATTATTAGCATTGTACTCGCGACTTAAAGCTCAAAACAATTATAATAGTTTTTAAGAAGCGTGGGTAATAGTTATTAACAAAGAAAATTGACCAGAAAAGTATATATTGGACTATGACAGCATATATTTTTAAAAAGAACTAATTAAAATTGCTTAAAATATTGTTTTCGCGTTTAAAACAAAATTATATCATATTGTGTTGCTGTGTACTTACATATATTTTATAATATAGAATGATATATATTCTTATTTATTATGATAAATTATATAGTAACTTTTCCTGAATTACATTGGAACAAATATGTGTAGTTGAGTATTTGATGTTTACATTTTTAACAAATCCATATACATATAAGAAATAAGCAATCTATATTCTGTATAATTCCAGGAAATGATTTATAGTTTTTAAGAAAATCATTAAGTACTAATGAAATATTATGTAAATGTATAAGTATGTAATAAAGAAAATAGGAAAGATTAGCATAAAACTTAGTATTTCAATAGTGCATAGTAGAGAAATTACTGAATCTAGTATTTAAAACGTTTAACCTCTTTGGAATGATCATAAAATCTTAATGAAATATAATGTAACTTTGTTCTGTTGCTTTATTTAATTATTATTCTTTTGTTTTTTTTTTTTTGTGTGCAAAATGTACAAAATGTGATAATTTTCCTGTGACATCAAAATCTATAATAAAAATCTAATATTATTTTCATTAAAATACCTTAAAACAGGCAGTTTGTTTCTAGTATCAGTTTATAGGTTAAGTTAGTTGTAGACGATGGTTACTATAATTTATTAGTAATATTAACTTTTATTTCATATACAAAATTAATTCATGTATGAAATAAATCAATCACAAGTTTCTAGCATATACATATGTTTTGACGTCTCTCATGTTATTTAGTTTTGTATAAATTATATAAATGCAATGTAATATAATTTATAATAATATATTTCAAGTATAAATCTTATAAAGTTTCTTGGCATCATTTATCGGTTGGCTTCTTTAGGAATACTTTTTCTCTTAAATTGTATATAAAAAAAAAAATTACAAACAAATGTCTTTTATAAATTTATCCAATTTTTACGCGATAAAAGCCTCAAAATACAGTCTAAATATTACTACATCACACTACAAATACAATTCCTTTTTATGGTATACATACGAGATGCATCGTTTGCTATGAGAAATTAGACTCGAGCAGGCTTCTATGTACATTTTTATTTCGTCAAATCAATTAACAATCAATTAATTTTATTTTTGTAATTGCTAAATCTATAAAATAAAATTTTGTAAAATTAAAGTAAATAAAAAAAAAAAAACTAAAAAATATTAACAACCCTTTTTCAGAGTTCACTTAGAGTCTTAATAAATCCTACTTATGAGTACTGTCAAGATATTTAAATGAATCTTAACTTGTCAATCAATAACATAGTAGAGATATTTTCTCGTTTTCCAGCCCGACTACATATTAGTTTTACGATACATTCATATGCTATACACAAAGAAGGTCTATATTAATAAATTATAACATTAATACGCGATGTATACAATACAAAAAAATTGGTTCCTGTTTTATCGTGTCGTATTTGTAAAAATTTCGATAGTAATCATATATTCAATACATTCATGGGCAGTTTTTTTCTATCAGAGTGTATCTAAGAAGGTACTTTATAGTAGCATATAGTTCCTCACGCTGAAGTTATTCTTCGTACTATATACATCGTGTATAAATTTTGCATTATAAATACAATAACGATATGATGTTTCGATTAAGGCATACGATTCTTATTTGATAAGAAATATTAATATTAAACAGCTAAGCTACCAAAGAGTTAATATATTTTTTTTTTATATTATCAAATATATTAATTAGCTCAATACCATTCACCTACATTCGTTTACGTGTCCACATAAATATTTTACGCACCAATATTTCACAAGTATTATTGTACTTTTTATTTAAATCATATTTATATATTGAAGAAAAATTTATATATATAACTAAAGGTCTTATATATAATTTATAGTATGAATGTTTTGTTTCATTATTAATTATTTTAAAAAATTCTGCATGTTCTATTAGTACATTTAATAATAATAAAATAGTACAGATTTTTGATGGAAATAATAACTTAATTTTAGGTTAGAACACAATGGTGAATTGTGCGTTTGCAAGTTTGCAAAGTTGGATAATTTATATGTTCATTTCAATTGTAATACACCACCTTAAGCCTGTATTAAAATATTTAAGTACCTATATATTAACATTGAAATTAGGAGCAATAGTAGAATGGTAGTATCACTTAAAAATAAATTAAGTACAACCTGTTAAATCTAATTGGTGCAAAACAAACTATAACACGTGTAATCTATGTAATCTTAGATTATATGGATAGAGCAACAAGTGTCAAAAATGTATTATAACAACATTTTACTGACACAATTTGACATAGTTTTTTTTTTTTTAAATCAAGATAAAACGCGCCATCTATTCAGTGTTCCAAGTAAGTAGATTAAAAAATTCTAGACCAAGTCGATTTTTTTAACTGGAACTGGGAATTATTTCTCTCATATATTATATAAATATATAAAGGAACTTAATGGTTGAGGAATGGGCAGCAGCTCCCCCCTCAAACATTTCTAAAAGCCCAGTTATGGTTGTCAACCCGCCTGTCAAGCGTAGCAACTACTGGCAAAACTCCCCTTATGGGGAAGGCTTATAGATGTTCAGCAGTGGACACTTAAGAGCTGATATGATAATAATGTAAACAAACATGTGTTCGTATTGTTTACATTCATGGTCATTATTTTAATGAATACATGTATTCATTAAAATAATGACCATTTTCAATCTAATTTAGTTTTATTTTTCAATTTAACCTAACCATATAATCTCCCCCATATACTGAATAATAAATGTACATTACGGTAACTCTAATCACGCACACATGTATAAAAAAATTGACTTATTTTTAGCGAAGCACTTGTATGACACTCTATCTATATAACCTAAGTATATAATATATTATGTAATTATTTTCTATACAATAACAAAAAAAAAAAAAAAACATAAGAAATGAAATAGACACGTGACATAGCAAATCATTCTAACACAACAACAATATTGAGATCTCTTGTAGGTAATAAAAAAAAGGAAAATAAAGCTCCATCATAACTAGGCAAAAAAACCAATTGGCAAATTCGTAAATCTAATTAACCTAGGAAAAAATTTTAAATGCATCAAATCGGAATGAATTTATATAAAATTGGAATTTTCTAAATCGCTAATAAAACTATACTAACATAACATAAAAGCGCATTGCAAAACATTTCAAAGCGCCACTCATAATCAAATCATGTCTAAATATTATTTTAATTATAATATATAGAACATAGATAATTCGGACAAAATAATGATATCGTTTTGTATAAATTAGTTACAAAATTCATTAATTTCGAACTTCCCTAAACCGTAGAACACATCTAACGTTGATTAAGATCATTCATACCGAAAACAAATAGCATTTGCACTATCTGTCAGATTTTAAAAACATTATTTAAAACGTAGTTTTCTATTGTCCACACAACGTTGACTTATAGTGTATAAATTAATCGAAGACTAAAACGTATCACTAAAAATTTACCACTTTCATATTTTACTTTTGAAATTTTGTTCTCCATTAAATTCGCAAATTTCAGTTCTAGTTTAAAATTATCTTTTTCATGAATTATGTTATAATTCATTATTTAAATAATTAAAATAAATACGTAAAACTCTTTAAAAGTGATCGTACGTTGACAGATAGTGCAAATATTACCAATCTTGGGCATGAACACTCTCAGACAATCCCCTTTTCATTCTGGTGCACTTGAAATCCCAACTGTACACCAGTGAATCAACAATATAATAACCCTATATTCTCCTATAGCATACGAGCCTCTTCAATCCTTAATACCTTAAAAATTCCTTGTATCAGACTTTTGAAAATTTAATAAATGACAAGAAATAGACAAAAATTTATATTCAGACCACTACAACAGTCAGACTGTGAATAAGGCATCAGCGGCACTATATTCAATTTCAATTCCGTGGAATAAAGATTCATATTAATGGCACACTTGGAATTAATCGTATGACAATTTAGTTAGATCCTTAGTAGTAAGATGTACACTAAATTATTACTTTGTTCCCCTTGTTATAAATGTGTCAAAACATTTGTACTTTTCCACAGTTTTAAGGCTATACTTCATAAAGTCCTTTTTCAGGTAAAAAAAAATATATTAGTATTTTTATTGTTATTAGGAGGATTATTAGTCTAAAAATCCAAATGCTAGCAATATATAGAGTATATCAGGTCGACCTCCACCTGTAAACAATTTTGGTTAATTCTAACTAGTCACGATGGGTCAAGTGACCTATCATTCTCAGCTAACCTCTTTCACTGTTGCCACGCCAGCGTACACCGTTATCACAGGCGGGATTACCATTACACTTCCACCCATTAAAAAAAAAACATATTATTTGTTTTCTAATTATATGTCATTTAAGGAATTTATTTTTATTCCTGAAAAAAAGATGATATTTGTTATAGTAAAAGATCCTTAATTTCATATAGACCGTATCTGTCTGGATGTCTTGTTTTTTCAAAGGTGCACTTTTTACTACATTTAAGCTAAATCCTTATGTAAATTAGAAATGAAAAACACATTTACATTGGTCAGAGAACAATATTCCCTGTAATCTCTAAGTATTTTTAAGATGCCCTAGCATTTTCAACCTCATACTAAATGGATCACAAGATCGCGCTGTTTTAATAAAAAAAATTCGACTATGCTCCTAGAAAAATGTTTACTATGTTTTCACCATATTTTAACATACATTATATATCCCAAATGGATATAAATAAATACTACAAATCGTAAATTCATTCTTGTGAATAATTTCATAGTGTTAGGCATTTGATCTCTTTATTCCACGGAACTTTGAAAACATAATTTGACCATGTTTCAATTATTGTTTTAAGAATAAAAAATTTATAAACTATAAAAATTGTGAAACCAATAGGTATAGTTTTGTCAAATATCCCGTATCAACCTAGACGGTAGTCAATCACCTAAAAATTAAACTACACCACGACCAATCAAAGTCAATTCTACGTTTTGGTACCAATCGATCGCATCGCAATGTGCCATTCTATAATGCAGGGGTGGTCAACTAGTACACTAAGAAATTATATTTGGCAAATCATTCGCAATAATTCAGTTACATTGTGATTATTATATTATACATTACTTAGTAGTAGAAAAAAATTATACCTGCCCGCTTTTTAATGTCTAATGCAAATAGATTTTGGACTTTTTAAAATAAACAGTACATCTTAGTACATAAAAGTTGGCCATCCCTGCTACCAGTCCATATTTATATATAGGTAATCTAATTTACACTTCAACGTGCTTCTGTATAAGGTTAAAACTTCAGTAAATAAACTTACAAAGGGTATAAAATTAACACAATCGTAGACACGACAAAAGTGCCAAGGCATAGACAAGTGTAAAATACTCTGTTGTCGTCTTCTTTAGAAGATTCAGTCTCTGTTATCAATTCCCTGTTCAAATTGTTTTGAATGTCGAGATTCATTTTTCCCCTGTCATATCTTTCTGCGACCATTTCTTCCCGCCTTAACTGTATTGGTAAATCTACTTCGTCCGTGTCATAAATCTCGAAACTGTCATTTTTAAGTACGTTGTTTTTGTAAAAAGGCGTTACAAATTGAATTCTGTTCTTTTGGTAATACGGTCCCCTGTTTCTTAAACCATCGCCGTACACCGGGGAATACTGTACTTGGACATTCTGTGGTTCCATGTTGTTATTCTCGTAATTGAGCTGGTACTCCTCCGCTTCATCTATCGTGTAGTCTTCGAGGTTGTTAAAGTTACTGATGAACCGCTCCTCGGAGTACCTCTTTGGCTGCCGTCTATAGTAGTTGACTTCAAGAGATTCTATGACGTCACCCGCGTACTCGCGTCCATAGTGATAGGGTTGTGATTGGGTATCGTTAGGGTCGGCCGGCGACGGCGTGGCGTGTGTGGCAGGGGGTTGGAGTGGGCCGGTGAGGGCGACGAGGGTGGTGAGTAGGGGTGTGAGAGAGCCTCCCTCCCCCTCGCCGCCCTCCGGGTGGAACCCCAGTATGTCTTCGGGCGAGCAGATGGCCTCCTGCAACACACGCCACCCGTCTCTTAATTTCATATTCTACAAAATGAGTTGCGCTCGCGATACTATATCGATTCACGCCCTGCAACACTCGAAATGGACATGCTGTTTGCCAATGATTATGGAGTCAATAAAAAAAAAATATGATGGGATGATAAAAGGTATGTAATTTGTCTATGGTATATATTTAATAAGAGCCACACAAACACTAAATTTTTTTAATAATGATTGATTTTATGGAAGGTAATACATTTTGTTTAAAATACATGACGAATTAAATAATATATCCGCGTATTATCCGTCTAAAAACAATTTTCAAAGATTTTTAATAAACACCATGTATCTCATTTATTCATAAATAATACATTTAAATTAATAATGATTTTATTCATATAATACAAATAATTAATAGAAATAAATGACACCTACCTCTTCAACTCCTATTTTTCTGCATGCTTCCAAGAAATTATCTACATTTCTTCTGCATCTTGCCATTGTTAGTTTGGGCTGAAAAAAACAAAAATAGTCATTAGTAGAAAATAAAGCCATTATTAAATTGGAAATTTAAAGAGATTGTCTGACTTTTCTACAATATTATATACCTTTTTTTTTTGATGGGTGAAAATGGTATGGTAACCCCGCCCGCGCTGACGAGATACGCTGGCGGAGCGTCTCATCTATCACCCTTCACTGGTGAAGGGTGATAGATGAGAATGAAAACAGGCCAGTTAGCCCATCATGATGAATTCATCAGGAATTAACCATGATGGTTTTTTAGGGGGGACCCCGAGTAGTTCGACCTGGTTGGGTATATTGCTAGCAATGGGATTCTCAGTCTCCATTACTAACAATCCCTTCCCCCCCCTATATATCTTATTAACACGTATTACTAGCAAGCCAAAGGTGTATATATGTTATTTTATTATTATGCTGGCTAAGAGAGTGGGTATAGTGATGTTTTTAAACTAATATGATGGCAAACAATCGTATAGCCCACCTTATGGTAAACAGTTTCTATAGTCTATGGACGTCATTAATACCTAGAATGGCACGCGTATGACTATTTTGGTTCTAGGGCAGAGGTCGGCAACCTTGGAGTCGGAAGAGTCAAAAATTACAATTTACAAAATTTCAAAGTTTTTAAAGAGCCACAAAAATTTCCTTGCCAACAATAAATACCAGGTTTATAAATAAAGTTTGGTGTCGAATCCTCGTTAATCGAATTAGAAAGATTTTTTTTATAAAATATATAATATTTGCCTATGAAACTAAAGAGTCGCAACTGCACATCCAGAGACGCATGTGGCTCAAGAGCCGCAGGTTGCCGACCCCTGTTCTAGAGTGTGAGGATGAATACAAGACTTTATTACAGCGTGTGTAAGTTTACAGGTTACACTAGCCCACACTGCTTACTGATTTTAACGTTAAATCGACGTTTGGTATGGTAACCCTATTTACGCCGGGGGAAAAGGATATTGTTAGCAATGGAGTTTGATAGCCCCATTGCTAGCAATATGCCCTATTATGTCGACCTCCACGTAGTTCCCCCTGGAAACTATCGTAAACAATTCTTGTTGAATTCGTCACGATGGGCTAACTGACTTGCTTCATCTTCACTGGTGCCCCGCCGATGTATACCGTTAGCGCGGGTGGGGTTACCATTCCATTATCACCCATAAAAAAACCCCATTTACACACACATGGATATTAAAGTTGCCCTGCTATAGAAGAACCATTTGTATGGAGACACTGTATATCAAAAATCGTTTGCTTCAGCACTTCTGTCTCGTACGTGTTTCTACCGTAAAGTAGTTTTGTTTGCATGGCTGTTTCGGTTTGAAGGGTGGGATATGGTAGTGAATTTACAGGGTACAGAGAAATAACACCTGAGTCCTCGGGAATGGCAACGCATGGGGGGTATCATGGGTGAAACAGTTCATGTTCATGTCTATGTGACAGTTACCACTTTCCATTAGGTGGGCCGTTAGCATGTTTACCATTCTAAGTTGCATAAAAAAAATGTATATAATGCAGAGTAGGCTCGATACCTGCGCGGGCGAGGGCACGTGCACGGAAGCGACGGCGCGTGGGCGCACGTGGTTGGCGAGGTGGCACAGCACCACGCCGTCCGCCAGCACCGGCGCCAGTGCGCCTGGCAACGACATCTTCAAACGGCTCTCGATTATCTGCACCGAGACACATACATAAAATAATAATGTTAAAATTATATCAAGGAAGAGAGACCTTTTCTCTCCCTCTACACTCCACCACCATCACCGAAGCAGACACCACGCCGACATACACCTACCATCTGGTTTAAACCCAGTGACCCGGAGGTTTTTGCCTCCGGAGTTGAAACCCGGGTAGTGGGGTTCACCCCGATGCCCTTACCTAACCCGCTACACACCAATTTAGCGGGTAAAGAGAAAACTGGACCGGGACATATCACACTTACTTGATTTATTTAATTAATTTTTTTATTAAAGAAAAACCAACAGTTAGAAAATTTTATAATAAAAAAAAACCAGCAAAGACAAATTACAGGTGATGTAAATATTTTCGTTGTAAACTTTATGCTTTATTGTAAACAAAAGACATCATATAATAGTGCATAAGAGTGAACTTATTCCTAAAAAAAAGATTTCTTTTTATTTATATACGCTATAACAAATTATGCTAAGCCTTACTTATCTAAATAAATAAAAATCCCGTATTTCGCTAATTTCCAAAATAGGTGAAGTGAAAAAAAAATTACGTCTGGTAGATAGCAGTTGGGGGCGAAACACCGTTTCTGGAAAGTTAGTAACACACACAATAAAGTAGCGCTGTAATATGTTTATTTTAAAATATTAACCCTCTTATTAATTTTTTTTATACAACTTAGAATGGGAAACAAGCTGACTGCCCACCTGATGGAAAGTGGTAACCGTCGCCTATAGACATGAGCAGTAGTACCATGGACATAACAGAGTATACTGTTTCATCCATGATACCCCCCTGCGTTGCCATTCCTGAGGACTCAGGTGTTATTCTTCTGTACCCAATAAATTCACGCGATATCCCACCCTTCAAACCGAAACACCATGCCACCAAACATAACTGCTTCGCGGTTGAAACACGAATGGGATAGAGGTACCCAAGCAATCGATTTTTGTACAAAGCCTTCCATAAAAACTATTACACTGTTTTGTCACTTTCTTTTAAATTATGAATTTAACACAAAAGAATAAGACCAAACAGTTCAATAATTAAAACAGGGGGTCTACCATGAAATGCGAATTTTCGGACTCAATTTCGTGTTTTTGTTCGTACCGAAATCGCTCCAGTAAATGGAGCGTAACGTTTCGTTTATCAAAAATCCTATCATAATAGTCCAGAGGAACGATATTTTAACATTTTTATTAATTTTAAACAGTATGTATTATGTAATTTTAACATCAAATTTCTATTTCGTTCGTCCCCGAAATTTCGATAAATATTTCATGGTAGGCCCTTGGGTTTAAAGGTTTGACTTTTTTATGAATAAGGAGATAAGACTATTAATTATGTTCCGACTGAAGAACATTTTATAACGAAATATAATTACGAGAAACGATACGTCTCATAATCCTATATTGACATAATACTTGTACCGTTGCGCTACCCTAAATTGTGTACCTTCTATAATAAACAAACAAAAAGCGAAAAGATATCCATGTAGCGATCGGTAACATTCCTAAACAAATGAAACAATCACTTAGAAGACAGAAATATAAACAAAAATATTTACCGTTCGCAACTGAAGCAACAGATCCTCCTCCTCCTTCTGTTTGTCGAATTCCCTCTTCATAGTGAAGCTGAGTTTATCGGGAGCGGCGTCTTTGTTCCACGCCATCTTGCCCGGAGGCTTCGGTGCCGCACCTTTTAAATACGACACGGTCGTCGTTAGCAATTTGGGGTTATCACCGTTGACCTGCCTCGGTATACTTGACTTTCCTATACTGTTGTATCCTAAAGTATTCGTTGGCGATTTGGTGGGAGACGTTGGTTTTATGTACGTCTCACTTGTACCATTGACACGGTTGTAGTCTATATTTCCGTTGACTGTGGAGTACATCTTGTTCACATTCCTCGATGGCACCACTTTTTGTACTGGCCGTTTGTTCTCCTCCTTCTCACTATTCCCGTTTTGATTCTGGAACCTTCTAGGCGTGGAGTGTAGTAGGGGAGAGTTTGGCACTTGAGACGTATTGGGCGATGAGGTAGAAATACTAGAGTTGGAAGATAAGGTACGGTTGTAAAGACTAGGTGATACGTTACTGTAGCCGTTGATTGGTGAGTGGGGGGAAGACATCGAATGGACTGGACTTTGATTCTGGGAATGGGGGCTCGAGTCTAGCTCGGGGGAGGGTTGGTCGGTACGGGGTCGGTATATATCTTGTTGGCGTTGCTGTCTTAGGGCTTCTTTATATTGTCTGGAACATGTTAAAATTGCAATTGAAATATATCATCGATAACGTGACAAATATTAAAAATTTAAATAACACTTAGTTTTATAGCGTTCAATTAGTGATTTTATTGTCATACAATTAAGATACATTCCTGTTTAATTGGAAAGCTAACGTGCAGCTGTTGCAGTGTAATCTTGTCTAATTAAAGTTGCTTCGAAAGCATAAACCTGTTGCGATGTCAGTTGATAACTAATACAGTTTACACGACAGCTGTTAGAATTGCACGCGATTGGCTGAGATTTTATCGGAAGCAACAGAATCGCAAAAGCGTAGCGAACGTGTCCGACTAGTAAAGTGCATCAGATTATGATGCTAATTGCTAAATCAAATCGGTCGTTGGCACTGCATATTTTTAGCTTTGCTCATGATTTCCTGTGTAGGTATGGTATCTCATAAATAATGGATGACATAATATTTACAAAGCTAATGTTTGAGATACGGGTATTGAATTGTTACTTAGCTTACATATATTTAACATCACAAACATATAAGTAAGAAACAATTACTAACGAGCGATAATATACATATTTCTTTACATAATTTTCTTTATATAATAATGTATTAAAAATAATGTAATTAATTAAGAATCAATAAAAATAATTTTATTTAAATGTCTATGGTTTTTAGTAAGTTATTTGTAAATCTGTAAATCTCACAAAAAAAAACAAAAAATATGTATATATATATATATATATATATATATATATATGTTACTCCTTCCTAGTAAGATTTTATAATGCAAGAAAATGGATGCATTTATTTATTCATATACCCAAGTGAATTTACCTAATGAACCGTAAAGCGATCGCAATCAAGTTAATAAAGCAATCAAATGAACATTGGTCATTACAGTTGAACAAAGAAGCCATTTGATGAGCAGTTCAAAAATTGTATACCCATAAAGAAGAAATAATCAATTTAGTATGGAATTAATTCGGCCATTCTACCTTTTTGTATAAAGGTAGGAGCGAACGAACTACAAATTTGTCACAATTACGACTCAAATGCATGAAAATTAATAAAATTTTTGTCATTTGCAAACATTTATAACTTATAGAAATCTGTTGTGAATTTATATTAAACTAGTGATTCGGCCGGGCTTTGCACGGATAGATAGAATTTCCAAAAATAATATACAGTTTATTATATTATATCTCACTGATAATGTAGCTTTCTATAAGTAAGAAGTAAGAATTTTTTAAATCGGTTGACTAGTTTCGGAGTATATCCATTACATACAATAATTTTTTTTCTATTTATAATAGTAGTATAGATAAATGTAAATTAGTAGATGATATTCTGTGTATTGTATTTACACCACAAAGCCGACGTTAGTTCAAATCCATAGAGAAATTACAATCTTATTCTAACCCTTCAACGTTAAGGTTGACTTTGAACAGACGGCGTATTGTCTATGATCTGACATTATTGCTCTACAGCACGCATGTGATAGAACAGGACAGCAGCATCTGTCGTTTTATTTTTTTTCATGCTTGCAGTAGCTCAACACTATTTACAAATATGCGTTGCATACTTCATACGTCTATGTTTTTTTTTTTTTTTATTATGAAATTTTCGAGCTGTTGTTTCTTTTTTTAATAAAAAATAAAATGAATACACTTGCATATATTTAAATGGCGCACTATATACAAGTAAGTTCAAAGTCATGGCTGCTCCATTACACTGTCAATTGCAGCATTTGTCAACTATTACGTACTAAGTGTTATTTAAATTATTTAAACATATATAGGAGTTAGTGCGTGGCATATGAATGGCGTGCGTGTATGAATGACGATGTACCTGTAGGTTTGCTGATGAGCTAACTTATTCTTATCGTCGCCATTCGTAATGTTCCCTTCGGGTGATATACGGAGGCTGAAAGGGACAACACCGGGGTTATAAAACAGGTAAAAAAATAGAAGTATGAAACAGAGGGGTGGGTGATGATGACGGACTAAGGTTTCTCATTACCTCTGTACCGGCCATGGCAAAAAAATTGAAATAAATATTAAGCACTAGAACTACTAAATAATATAATACTACTTATAATTTCTAATAGGAAATAAATATCATTTTGTACATAATGGTTATTATACCGATCTATGATCCCCAAAAGCTAGGATATAGTGCTAAATTAATTAATTAATTAATTAAACTAATTTATTAGTGTAAGTAGTTGTAACCACAGTATAACATCTTTACAGTAGGTAAATATTTCAATGTTAACATCGGGCGTGTAGATATTTACGTTGTACATACAATCTAGCAACTACACGCTAATTCTAATTTTGTCAATACAGACTGTTACACATTTTGTTTGCAGTAATGGACCATGACGCCCGCCCCATTCCAATGTTGCACTGCGTAAATAATTATTGCCTAACTGTATTGATTGTAAACTGTAGTTATAACTAGGTTTCTTATTTTACTACATGAGTTGCTAATACACTTCAAAAACTCTATACATCATTTTACAAAGTTCTTAGATTACAGACCGAAATCCAGCGATAAAAAAACTCAGTAATTTCCCCCACAAGACACTTTATTTAAGTTGAAATAATAAAAAGATTATAAATTGATAGGTCACGTGATCAATTCAGTAATACTTTAAAAAAATGATCATATTTAACCATATTTTTTCCGTTTCATGAATATTATTGTCCTTTATCTAGGTTTTGGACTGTTAGACTTGTTACATTAAACCTCGCACATTACTGAATTAAGTATATAGTTATAGGTACATTTTAAGATATCGCTCCCATTTAATGACTTCTATACTTAAATCTGTTGTAGATAGCAGAAAGTGAAGTAATCAGTGGTCGTTACACTTAATGTAATGTAATGTGGTCATATTGAACATAATAAAATAAATGTCATATAAAACGAAACTTTTTAATCTTAAAAAGTAAATAAATAATCATAAGTACGCGTCCAGCTACCAATCTCTGCAATGTTAAGGTTGCAATATGGAGCAACTCATATTACATATTTAAAGTCCGAGATATACTATTCTGTCGTCTTAAATTTCAACTTTTGTAGATAAAGCCTTTCGATTCCAACGAAATATATTGAGACTCATAAGGTCGTCAGATTTCTCACCATTCTCACTCTTTCATTAGACAATTATTTGAATTGAAAGCGTGTCAACTAATGACATTTCTCGTGTAAAAGGATCATATATACCGTGACCATTTTATTAACTGTTAACTGTACCATTTAAAACAAATGTCGTCAATAGAGTACCTTAAACGGCGGGCCGTCTAAGGACAGCACTTCCTATTGGCATTACGCCTGTTTTATTGACGCAGTTTATAATCAACATACTTTCTGCCTATGTGTTTTACATATTTTTGTACCTTTATATAAATATATTTTTTTCTATTGTTATTTAAACGAATTAATATTTATAATGGTGTATTGTGTCAAGGTTATTTCAGAGAATCACTGCTTGTATGTTATTTATATAAGAAATTTATATAAAAACCAATCTAATATAATATTCTTTTGATTCAACAATGTGAATAAGAAGTAATTTCAATTTTTAACTACTTCAGTAGAGTCGGTTTCCCTTGGAAGTATTTCAAAGTTAGAGTACCGATTGTTTCAATGTACATATGATATGAAATTAAACCATAATACCACATAAATTTATAAAATTCCATCAAATTCTATTATCCATAATAATCAAATTTGGAATGTAATAGTTTATTATTAAATTGAGCGTAAGAGTAATGGTAAACTACATATAAGTATAACCCATGCATGCATTCCCTATGTAACTCAAAATTACAATACATACCCAGTGAGGAGTGGAGTGAGTGGCGCTAAGGGTGTTTCACTGGAGAGTGACTGAGCTCTAGAGAGCGCAGCGCCAGGAGACAGGGTCGATGGTGTACTCGGAGTGGACCGTCCTGACCCGCCCCCTCCGCCCGCCTCGCCGCCCGCTGGAGACGAATAAGTGATGATAAATAAATAAATAACACCATAACAAATTATAATAGCAGTACCTTAATAATACATTAACGTGCCCCTCCCCCTCTCGTTTATGGAAAGAATTTTAAGTAATGGAGGACTAGAAGCGCCATTGCTGGTGAATTCATACGATTCTCAACTGATTTGATTTTCTCACCTAATAATCATCCCACACTGGTACCCGCAGTGCGTAACCAATAACGTAAGTGATGGATTAAAATTTTATTTCTTCTTTAAAAAAAACCTGCTATTATCATAGTGGACAAGCGCCTTGATTATAGGCTTCGTGTTTCCTTCTATTGCATCTTTATATGTTTTGTTGGCTTAATTGCCATTAACTAATTCAGTTATATCTGGTCTTACATCTAATGTCCTATTTTTTTTTAAGATTAAACAACAACATGGCATTAATTAATAAGAACATGATTGTATGAGCGAACGAAACTGATAACGAAGTAAATATTGAATAAGGATGATATCATCCAATTTGCATACTTTATATGGACATGTATGTAGATACCAAATTAACAGGCCTGGTCAGCGTAGGAATAAAATTAGGGTAATATTATCACCCAAGGTTTTTAGTAATGGTGTTTAGTTGGTCCATATACTTTTTCAGGTCTTCTTTTAGGCGGTCTCCCCTGTAAACTATTGTGGCGAATTCCTCATGAGTCAAATGAACTGACTTATCTTGACTAATAACTGTAGCTTATAACAATAGTGCAAACAGGGTTTCCATTCTATTTTATCTCCTAATTATATCACAGCTATTCATCAGACAGACGGCTTGTTTACCATTACACCTTAAATAAAAAATAAAAATAAAAAAAACATTTTTTTTAAATAAAACAAGTCCCATTAAAGGAGTATCTTTATTGGATGACCTATACTCATGACAAGATCTTTGGTCAATGCTGTCGGTGCTATGATCCCCATCTGAAACATGCGTCGCCCTGTGCCTAATGTAGTCTATAGTAAGAATATCTTAATACTATTTTCCATCAAGAAGAGGGATTATTATCTTAATATATTATAATCCCTCCTCTTGATGGAAAATAGTAATCGTCAATAGATGTCGTCGTCCTATAAACAAAAATGGAAATCCCAGAACACATTCCGATGCACCTAGTACACCTCATACGTTGACATTCCTGAAGACGTAAGATGAAAGCGCAACTGCTACGTAATGAAAAACCAGAAATATTTATTACGAGTAATTAAAACGTGAGTGGGACAGAGGTACCAAAGTAGCCGCGTCTTGGAGGAGAAAGGATTTAGGATTAAATTTAGGATTAGATTAGCAATCCCAATGCTTGCAATATACCCTATCAGGTCGACTTTCACGCTGTGTCCCCTGGAAACCGTCGTGACTGATTTATTGTTGAAATTACGATGGGTCAACAGACCTGCTTTATTTTCACCTATTTTCTGCACTGGTGCACCGATAGTGCAGGGGGGGGAGTTACTATTCCATTATCATCATAAAAAAATAGAGACACATCTATATATATAAAAGCACTCACCATCATTGGACCACCTTTTGTCAACACCGTCGGTGCTGTACCCGCTGTCTACAACATGCCTCGGCTTGTGCCTCAAGCAGTCTATCGTGGCATTGCCAGACGTGATCTGGTGGGTCACGCTTTGGTTCGGTGAAGTACTGATGTACGAGCTATGTTTAGCGGTCCGTTTCGCCTCCTCGACCCTTCTGTGTGACGGTAACGAGTCTTTGTTCGCCATATTTTCCAAATATTTGAATATGTGCACACGCCCGCGCATGCATATCTGAAAATTAAGAGTTTATATATAGGAAGAAATCTAATTCGTTAGCATCATTTGAAGAAACTGAATATATTCACCAAAGAAAAAAAGGTCGAGAAACGACAAAGAATTTTGAGTCTCTGGTACTAGGATGATAGACATACTAGGGACTAAGGTGTTAGGTCTCTGTACCCTGTAATTTCATTGTCATATCCCATCCATCAAGCCGAAACACAGTCATGACTTAAAATTTATTGTTTTTGAATTTTCAAAAGTCTTCAAAAGGTTGTATTTTTTTTTATCTTTTTTACTTCATAACTCCGTCAGTTGCAAACCAATTTGTTTTTTTTTTTAAAGAATATACTTATAGATTGGTCCCATAGAAATTTTATTAAAGTCAGTTTGTAATTTTTAGTTTTTAAATCAAAATAACTGGTTTAGCCCCAATTGAAGTCGCTTTTTTTATGGACCACAATTTAACTATTGATTCATGTAACTTCTGTCCTAACACATTCTACAGCATGAGTAATTTCTAACTTTTACCTATCACTGTATACTCGTATACAGAACAAGTTGCGCACTAAATGTGTCCATTAAGCGATTATAAGCAAGCGTGATTCCTAGTATGAACGTGAAATCAGAGATACAATCATGCGTTTGAATCGTACATAATAATTACTCAGCCACCATGTGTTAGCAACGCTATACATATTAATTTAGACTGCACCATATTATAACATATTTTCTGTGTAATGCGAAGGAGGAAAAATTAAATGTAAATACATAGTGCATATAATGAAGATAGGTATTTTTTTAACGCTCATTTCTAGTCGCTAACAGTTAATTAGCGTTACATTGACTGACTATATATACAATCAATGTAAACATAATCTAAATTGTAGAAATGTAATGATTTATCCATTAACAACTATAGATAAATACCATTTTCATCAGATATGCCATCGACTTATTTGTAAATCTTAATTTATAATGAAAAAAATAGCTTTCAAGTAAGACTCGTCGTCAAATGATCATTGCAAACAAAGGGCCTTTTAAACATCAACAGGAAACAAACGTTCAGTTTATTACTATGTAGGATCACATTGATCATGACATAAAGGTATATACTAGTGGGCAGAGTTATGTAGACACAAGGATAATGTACCAAGTCAGTGATATCATCGCATTAAACGGAAGGCAATTGTCACGTTGTTTTTCATAAAAATAAACCGTGAAAAGCAGGTTAAGGTTATATGAATACTAAAATAACTGCACAAATACACGCCTCTAATATTATAGATTAATAACAAATTCAATCAACAAAAGTTCAACAAAATTAATCAATTACTTTCGAAAAAAAAACTCTTAATAATAAATACTAATATAACAAAGCGAAAGAGGTCGTTTGTTTGTTTGAACGCACTAATCTCTGGAACTACAAGTCGGGAATGAAAATTTCTTTTTGCATTTGATAGTTCATTGTTTGAGTAAGATTATAGGCTATACAATATTACGATACGGCCACGGGCAAAGCAAAGCTAGTTTAATATATTCACAGATGGAATAATAATATAAAGAAAATAATAGTTAAAGACCCTTACAGTGGTAGGTGGCGACACGAGCGGATTGTTGTCTAGATTTAAAGTGACGAGCGAGGTCATGTTCCGCATTTCCAGGGGAAGCGACGATATACAGTTGCAACTGACGTCTAGGTGCTCCAGTCTTAAATATGTGATTTCTGAAAATAACATATTTACATTACTTATTATAACTAACACAGAAAAGTAATCAGTATGGGATTACACTAATCCAAGATAATAAATATGTAATTAGAAGATGTACATGAGAGATATAAGAAAAATTTATATAACGTGTATGTGATATATAGAAGCCAGAAGAATAATTTCTTGAAATTTTGTTTGTTCCGGTATCCCGCAAAAATTACTGCACCAAATTGGATGCGATGTTCAGTCAGTGAAATTTTTGGAAAACAATTTAAAATCTGCTATATGTATGTTTTATCTTTATGTAGAAATAGTCTATTTTTATTTACATCAATGCGTACGAGGTAGCGGAAAAAACTAGTAAGGACTACAAAATAATAAGGATTATTATTATAAATTCGAGTCAAGTTTGTTTCCTCTTAGCGCTTTAGCGGCTTAATCAATCACTATGAAATTTGGTATACGGATACTATAAGGGATGGAGAAGAACATAGGCTTTGATCCTGATCACGTGGACGATAACACAGGTAAAAGCTTGCAATATATAAATAGTCTATAGTTATTAATCAGACTACTGCTTATATCTATTCTGCTGTTAATTAATTTAAATATGATAGAACAAAATAATTTATCATGAAAATTATATTAAAATAGTTTTCAGTTTATAGCGTAGGCAGGTCGGCAACGTTCCGACCCTTGTAATCTTCTGTGGGCGTGTTTCCACAAAGTTTCAGATACAACCTCTGTGACATTTAAATTAAATATGTAAAGGTCACACTCAGTAGGTGGGAGGAAGGAGTCAAGTAATGCGCAGATTAAGGAGGAAGATGGATATTAATACGTAAGTAAGATAAGCTTTTACGTAAGATAATAAAATCTGTTTTTTTTTTTTATTTATTGTACAGAATAAAAGCTGTCTTAACAAGCATATAATTACCCATTTAAAAACATTTTAGAATCCCTTCAATTAGATATGTAATTTAAAGGTATTTCAATAGTAAGTCGGATTCAATTAAAACTTATTTGAGTATTATTGGGTTTCTTAAAAAAAAAGTGTAATTGACATACTGCAAGATTGGAACCCTACATGTGATACCCCTGATGTAAACAGCTTTCCTATTCTACGATATCACCATGGGCCTACTTGTTTACTATCGTGTATAAATAAAAGGCGTTTTAGAAAAGTTTTTAGCAACGTTATTTGTCATATATATACATAAGATATTAATTAACAAGATCGTATCACCATTATCAGACTTGAGATTTTGTTCTTAATTACATAAATATTTTGTTAAATAAATAATACACAAAAAACGTTGAGTAGGAGTCACTAATACAGAATTAAAAATATCTAAAGAAAGAAATTAAGAAATTACATAAAATTTTTGTTTATTTAAAATATAGAAAACTGTACTCACGTAATGGTAATAGCCCCAGCTGATTATTACTAAGATCTAATGCCCGCATCCCTGCGCAGTCACCCAGAGTCATCGGCACCTGAGTGAGTCTGTTGTTGGAAGCATCCAGCTCTGCCAGGGACGTCATCTTGCCGATCTCCTTTGGGAGGTTCGTTAGCATGTTGTCTTGTAACAGAAGAACTTGCAATGGCATCTGGCATACTTCTCTGGGTAACTCCGTTAGCTGATTTGAACTGTGGACAATGAGCGTAAGTGTTAAAAGGATCGAAGTTAACTGTAATTTATGAATCACCTAAGAACAGACCATATGTATTTTACGACTAAGGGTAAATAATTTATTTTAAAAAGAAACAATTTTATTTTGTTATTATGATTATTTACAGGTTCACTGGACTGTTTTCAGTAGCAAGTAAATGGACAAGTCCATCAAGATAGTAGTCAAAATAGGTGTTACCACAAAAGATAATTACTTGTAAAAATGTACATAAAAGCTAAAAAAAATACGCTAAGAGTAAGTGTAGTATAAAACCGAGAGCTAACAGACGAAAACGTAAACAAATGCACCGAATCAATAACAACTAACGTCTATTTCTAACGTAGAACCTACTTTCATGTAAGATTGCATGTAATTAGATCGCTCGAAACATAAATCGCTCGCCGCTTAACCTAATAGCTCAGGAGCGGGTGCCAAGAAAACTCTGTAAACATTGGTGTTAATACGATGGGTAAAACTGAACTTCCTGCATTTTATGCAGTAGAAAGACATAAAAATGCTTTCACATTTTATGTATCGGTAGAGCACTGTGAAGTAGAGCATAGATAATTGGAAATGTTACCTTTATTGCTACTGAATTTGTAAACAAGTACGCGGCAGTCGGGGACCGCCCACGTGTCATCACCTAAATGAATTATGTTATCAGATTATACGAGAGTGCCGTTAATTTTTGCACTATGAATTATATGTCTATGCTTATAACTTTAACCCCGAAGGGATACTAAAAGGTGTTTATGAATTATTTTTGATAATTATAGATGTTTATTATTTTATAGTAAATGTTAATTTCATTCGTAGTCAATCGTAGCTAATTTTGTAATAATTAAAAGGATATAAAAAAATATAAAGCAGATCATCACTTATACTAGCATATTTCAATTTTTTTTTTAGTATTGGTCCGCAGAATTGAATATATCAGTTAGAAATTAGATTACTGAATGCCCGGCAGTGAGTAATGTGGTTAAGCCACATATCTTCTAAGCTCGATATTTTTTACCCCACAGCCTCTTTAGTCTAGACTCTAGACGAAGCGTTTGAAAACTGGCTTCTGTACTATTCTTGGAATCGATAATGAAATACACAAAGGTGAACGCACTGGAATATTTGAAGTAATTGATACGTTTGAATTACTTGTGAAGTTTGGATATAGCACAGTTACTATCAATGTTTATAACGTGCTCATCTCTATTTCGTTTACAAAAAATACTGTCTTGAGCCATTTCTCCGAACTTACGCTATTTGTACTAGCCAAATTTATTTTCATGTTCACATCTGAGATTATTCAATTATTTAATTGCACAAGGCGATGTCATAGTAGTAATAATAAGTAGGCAAGACCTGAGGCCATGTAATGCAATGTATTTCTCAATGGCATCCGTCCCTTGTCAGTATAATTCGATCTCCGTTATCTACACAACCGTAAATGGCATAGCAACATGCAGTTTCATCATAAATACAAAACGAGATTGTCAACTGCTTGTATTGGTTTTATGTATCCACGCTTTCACACAGCAATGCAAATATATTTTTTCCATCACGTCAAGGAAAGTAGGCTCTTTTTGCTAATTTTGTCCAGATTGATATAAAAAAAAAAAAATATTATACAAATCGTCAACGTACTTGAGCTATTCTTTATATTATTAAAAACTGATAATTAAATCAAGACTGTAGTAAAGAATAATAACGAGGCGAAAATATGACTAAAAGTAATTTGAATAAAATATGCAATAAATTACTAAGAAAGAACAGACACATTTTCGAGACTTGAGATATGCTAGTTACAACTGCTTAATAAAATCATCGGAGCTCAACAATGAAAAGAGTTTAGAATGTAGTTTTTACTTTAAATAATTAATGACGGTAAATAAATCTGTATCTGCTTCATACAGTTGAAAAATGCTCTAATTTGTTAAGTGTTGTAGTAAGTTTTTAAGTGACTTAAAAATTTTGTTCATATCTATGCCATTGTATTATATTTAATATATATAAAATATATATAATATTTAATGATTTTTATTACATATCATTTGTCTGTTGAATCGCCAATTAGCTACATTTCGATAAGAGTCAAATTGTTTCACCACTAAATCAACCATACAAAGCCACATAAAAATTCTGAATTCTTTAAATTCGAACAAAAATAAATTATTCTATCAACTCCCATTATTAGAAAGTTATATTGTGATGGCCTCAACCTTGCCCGCAACCACACCTACATTGGATTAAGAGACAATGATAACATTTACCGGCGAACCGTTTATTGCCTTTGAGGTTCCCCTTGAGGGAGTAGGCCTCCCTCTGTCAACGAGTACATAATTTAATGGTGTTTTAGACAGGAATGGAGTTAAGATTGGTTTGTTAAATATTTCAAGTGTCATATTGAAGTTAATAAAGTAATTATATTGAATGAAGTGATACAAGTACGTAAATAACTTGTACGTAAGATTTTAGGATTCTAATATTGTAAATACAAAAGAGTTTGTTTTTAGCTCTTAGCGTCTAAACGGTTTTATGGATAACTTTAAAATTTGGTATATACATACTATAGGAAAAGAGAGAATGGCATAGACTATTTTTCGTCACAGTCAGCGAACATATCCCTGTCACACACAAAAGTAAAATGGGATCAAAACAAGAATAAATATTATCAATAGTAAAAAAAAGGCGACGTAATAACGCAACGAAAAAAATTTCGCAGTGTAACTATGAAATAAAGGACTTTCTTTACGAGTCACTTAAAAAGCATCTAAGATGTTCCAATTATTTCCTGCTCTACCGCATTTTTATATCGCTGGTTTGTTTCTTCTGATTCATTATATTACATCCGCCAGACAAGGCTGCAGCCCCGGCTCCCCATATTATTTAGTACAAATTATTCGCACGTTCCACTCGGGTGATCCAAGGTCGTGATATCGATTCATTTCCTCTAGGGTCGCGGAGAAGGGAACCCCTATATGGGTGAGCAGACAAAACAATTTAGCTTATATATTTATTTACAAACTAGCAGACTGGTGTCAGTTTAAACGATGGCTGACGTGTGTTGATGTGTTATGAATTTCTGTGATAAATCATCAATTTAATAATAGAATTTGTTTACTAGTTAGAATTAGCTAGAAATATGTTTACGTGATACTACGCTGTTTTCTTTAATTAGGTATTCTTGTGTTGAGTTGAACGTGATGTTTTGAATTAAGTACCTATATTATGACCTATAGTATTACAGAGTGTGAGAAGCAATTAGTGATTGTGTAGTTCTTTATTTATTTATTTATTTATAAAAAGACCTGCTGCTTGTCATTTAGCCTGTCTATAAAAGTATATCATAAACCGTTAAGGTAAAAAGTAATATTTTGATGCAACTTAGAATACCAAACAAGCAATTGACCTCCCCCCCCCCCCCCCATGGAAAATGACAACAGTGGCCTATATATAAACAAGACTGACCTCTTATAGTAATAATAATAAAACTTTATTTCACTCTTTGTTACAATATAGTGTGCAGTTCCTAACTCCCGAGATAGGTATGAAAAAACCTGTTTCAGGAAATATATATAGTTATAGTACAACATTCGTTGCTATTTCTTCAACGGCGTTGGCATCTAATGAGAATTATTATCCCGAAACTCAATCGGGAACGCAGACAAAAACATGATAAACATAGGTAATATATGATACTACATATATTACTACTAATACACGGTAAAACTTTTGTTGCTCTTGATATGTTAATTTATAATTACCATAAAGGCGGCACACAATCCTATGGCCAGAAATAACAGTTTATAATTAAATTGTTGTTTCTGCAATTCACATAAAATGAACAATAGTAATAGTAGAATGGTACTAACGATCGTACTAGACAACAATACACGAAGATTACCCTGCTATTCGCCAGTAGGTATATATTTTTTAATAAAAATATCGACCTCTGAAATTACGAGTAGACAGACCGTAACTAAATTAACTTTTAAGATTTTCACGTGAAATGATTTATGATTTCTAAGCCAGGAATTAACACGGTATATTACGGTAAAAAACAACCATTTTATCTAGGTTTACAGCCTTACGTTTGAACCATTAGAATCGACGTAATAATATAACGTCTGTTTAACGTTTCTTTAATATTACAAGTATTTCTATTCGAGCTCAATTCGATTGCGACGGGGGGAGAAGGGATTGTTAGTAATGGGGATTAGCAACCCCATTGCTAGCAATAAACCCTATTAGGTCGACCTCCTCGCGATTCTCCCTGGAAACCATCGTAATTGATTTATTATTGAATTTGTCGCGATGGGCTAACTAACCTGCTTCATCTTCACCTAACACCTCTCACTGGCACCCCGCCAGTGTATACTAATAGCGCAGGTGGAGTTACGATTCAATTACCATCCAATAAAAAAAATCGGACTACGACGAAAGTCATTACTTGATTACACCGGTTGCGGACGAAACATGGAGGTATCCTAGATAAATTATTGAAATTTATCTATATGATGGCGTTATCGAAATTGCCACGCTTGGCAGGCGAATTGGCAACAGAAGTTATGGATTGTTGTTTTAAGAGGGACGCTGCTACCAATCCCTCTACCATAAGTCGCATTTTACGACACCTACGAGAAAAGGAGTGAATCATTGTATGCCAGAGCTACACGGCATAACTTGAAATACTACATATATTTCAAGTTATGACTTGTTGTTATGATGCGAAAAAACACTAAGTACTTATAATCATTGTATTATTTATTTTCCTCTAATAGTCCTGTGAAAAGTATATGAAGTATGTTAATACAAGTATAAAATACAAATATATATTATTTATATTATAAAATACAAAACCTACAAGTGATAAAGAAATGTACATAATAACAGCATTATTATTATTATAATTATTACTATTTATAAACGATGACTATAAATCATGTTGACCACATGTGTGGCTCCCGTTAGTTGGCCTAAATA